TTAAAGGAAATAGAAAAAGAAGAACCAACACAGCCAAAAGTTAGTAGAAGGAAGGAAATAATAAAAACCAGAAGAGAAATAAATGAAATCGAGACCAAAAAAAAAAAAGATCAATAAAACTAAAAGCTGGTTCTTTAGCAAGATAAACAAAATCAATAAACCTTCAGCCAGACTCATCAAGAAAAAAGGAGGGCCCAAATAAATAAAATCAGAAATGAAAGAGGAAAACTTACTACCAATATCACAGAAGTACAAAGTTCTGTACAAAGAAATACAGAAGTACAAAGTACAAAGGATCATAAGAGAGTACTATGAATAATTATACGCCAACAAATTAGACAAGCTACAAGAAATGGATAAATTCCTAAAAACATACAATCTTCCAAGACTGAATCATGAAGAAACAGAAAACCTGAACAGACTGATTACTAGTAATGAAATTGAACCCATAATCAAAAAACCCTCAACAAAAAAAAAGTCAACATCCAGAGTGTTTCACAGGTGAATTCTACCAAATATGTAAAGAAGAGTTGATACCTATTTTTCTCAAATTATTCCAAAAAACTGAAGAGGAAGACTCTTTCAAACTCACTTTACGATGCCAGCATTTTCCTAATACCAAACCAGAAAAAGACACTACAAAAAGGAAAATTTCAGGCTAATAACGCTGATGAACATGGATACAAAAATCCTTAACAAAATATATTAGCAGGGACTTCCCTGGTGGCACAGTGGATAAGACTCCATGCTGCCAATGCAGGGGGCCCGGGTTCAATCCCTGGTCAGGGAACTAGATCCCACATGCATGCTGCAACTAAGAGTTCACATGTCGCAAATAAGGAGCCTGTGAGCTGCAACTAAGAAGCCCTAGAGCTGCAACTAAGGAGCCTGCCTGATGCAACTAAGACCCAGTGCAACTAACGAACTAAATAAATATTAGCAAACCAAATTCAACAGTACATTAAAAAAACATACACCATGATCAAGTAGGATTTATCCCAAGGATGCAAGGATGGTTTATCACCTGCAAATCAATCAACATGATGTGTAACATTAACAGAATAAAGGCTGAAGGTCAATGGAATTCCCAATTGATGACTAGGGACAAAAAAAGGAGTGAGTAAAGGAAAATGAGAAAAAGCAGAGAGGGAGATAAAAAATAAGAAGCCAAAGGAGAATGTAAGAAGGAGAGAAGGAGAAGAAGAGGGAGAGGGAAAGGAGGAGGAGGAGGAAGAGGAGAAGCTCTGCGTGTAATAATAGCACCTGGGTGCACTGTAGTGCTTACTAAGTTACAGGCACCAACTGTATATTAACTCATTAAACCTGAACAACAATCTTATGGGATAGTTATTACTAACCTCCCCATTTTAAAGATGGAGAAACTGTAATTTACCTAAGATCACAGGATCTTAGGTAAAGATGGGATTTAAACTCAACCAGTCTGGCTCCAGCATCCATGCTTTTAACCACTACATGTGTGTAGTGACAAGGAAAGATATGTATAATATATTATTAAATGAAAAAGTCTTGTTCAACGGCATTTTTTTAAAGAAAATAAATATGTTCATCCTTTCACATTGTTCTTCTAGATTTACCCACTACCTCCCCATCTTCTTATCTGTAACCCTCAAAGCCATATTAAAACATATTTGTTTATACATACATTTATGTGTATATGTAGGTAGGTAATGCATGCTTACATATTCAATAGACTAAAGCATGGGAGAAAGATTTTATACCCAATTTTTATTATGGTTACCTCTGGGGTAGGATTATGAATGGACTTTTCTTTTTTTCTACTGGAGTATAGCTGATTTACAATGTTGCGTTAGTTTCAGGTGTATAGCAAAGTGAATCAGTTGTACATATACATATATCTACTCTTTTTTTTAGATTCCTTTCCCTTATAGGTTATTACAGAATATTGAGTAGAGTTCCCTGTGCTATACGGTAGGTCCTTATTAGTTATCTATTTTATACATAGTAGTGTGTGTATGTCAATCCCAGCACATGTAAGATACAAAATGAGCTTGGGGGTGGGGGAGAGAAAAACATTCTGTCATTTACTTCTTAATCATTGTTGGAAAGCAAAGAGCCTATTCTGATTGGAAATTTTCTCTGCCAACATGAAGTAGCTAAGATCAATTCTTTTTTTTTTTTAATAAATTTATTTATTTATTTATTTATTGATTTACTTTTGACTGTGTTGGGTCTTCGTTTCTGTGCAAGGGTTTTCTCTAGTTGCAGCAAGCGGGGACCTCTCTTCATTGTGAGGCTAAGATTAATTCTGAGTGATCATCTCCAATCTATTATAATGACTATGCTATGACTACTGAATGTTTCATATAATAAGTGAATTAGATTTTTAGGAATATATCCAACCTACCTAGTGGACACTGCCAACATCCTAAATGATTTAATGATGCTACCTACTAGAGCGAATCATTCTTTTAGCTCAATAGCTTTCTAGCTGCCTGGTAGACTGTTTCTAACCCAAAAGGAAGTAGCTCCCATTCAGAAAGTAGGTGTCTATAAACCATACTGAGCAACAGAGACATTTACCTATGTTTATGCTGTTTAAAATTATAAATTCAGCTTTGCCTTTTCTAAGCCAAAAGATTTTAGGCCATCTGGGGCCTTGGTTCCCTCAATAATCAACTGAGGGAGAGAATTAGATCGTTTTCTCTAACACAGTTCATGATTCTCCTACAAATAACACATTTGATGTGTGCTAATGAGATAACCTGCGTTAACAGCGCACAGTAAGTGCTCAAGTAATGTTATTTCCCTTTCTGATTCCCCTCATCACAAGAAATACAGAGAAATCTAAAGTCCCTCTGCAGCTATACTGAAAATTAGTTAGGCTGGGTTCATAAGCATTTTGAACTATCCCTAATTGTGTTATTCTGATATAAACAAGTTTATATTCTTTTATGTGATAGATTAGAAGCTAAAAGTTAGTCACTGTCAAATGTGTTTGGAGTATTCTTTTTCTAGGTGGGGCAATCAGATCAATTAAGTACACTTCAGTGCAGCCTATATATGTACTGTCTCTATGTGAGGTCAGCTCCAGGATTCAAACAAGGAAGAGAGATAAATATAAACCTATAGTAATGGGAAAGCTCTCCTTTTAATTTTCTCTAACTAGACATTCTCCAAGATGATATTAGATGAGTATCCATGCATTGCTAGAGAAGATACAAAAGCCTTTCTGCCCAGTGGCCAGAGAATGTCCCCTGCACAGGCCATGTCTGGGTTAACATGGCCATAAATAAATGAAAACAATACAATCAAGCCCCCAAAACCTGTCAGCCAGGGGGATAATTTACCAGATGAATAAATTATTAGGCTGACACGGAGTACAGGTCTGATATCCAGAGGCGAAATCCTAGGTTACCCGCAAAAGACAGACTAAGCACAGGCTAAGAGCACTAGTAAAGAAAGGTCATTAAAAATGAGAAAAGGCATCTTGGGAAAGATGTAGTATCTGAAACAAAAAACTTAGACATGATAGGAAAAATCAAAACTTTGTTGGACTTCCTTATACTTACTTTATGGTTTAATATTGTTTTTAGTCTTAATTACATAATACTTTCACTGTTTAGGCAGTCTAAAAGTCTTATTCCAGCCCTCTGCAGAAAGCATCTTTTGGTTTTGATTTGTTTTAATGACAAGAAAAAAAAAATGAGGTGGAGATCCATGATTTCATTGAAAGATATATGCAAAGACGCTTGTTACTTTTTTGAAAATCTTTAAAATATTTTCCTTAGCTTCTAAAGTAACTTTGTCATATGAACTGTTCATATCTAAACTCAAAATGATTTAATGAAAAGTTTGAAGTACAGTTTACGAACTTCATAAAAAACAAATGCTTAACAGAATAAGAGATGAGGCGCAGCAGCCCACATCTTGAGTTGCATAGGGCCTATATTATGTGATGCCTTTGTTTTGAATCAAGGTATTTAATGGTTAAGTATGGAACCTCTCCTAAAATATCAAGAGCTTCTCTGAAGATTCAGATTATTATCTTTTGGGAAATCTGGAAGAATTATAGGGAATCTAGTAACAAATTCTGAATTACTTTGTCAACATAATAGTAATCACAATAATGACACCTACCATTTATTAGGCGATACAATTTTCCAGACATTATGTTAAGAGAATTTTATGTATCATATCATTTAGCAATCCTATAAATTAGTTTTCATTATTATCTCAAAATTCAGGGTCTGAGTAATTTTCCCAAAGTCATACACTAGAGCTGATATTAGAACCAAATCTGTCTGAGTCTGGTGTCTGCAATTTTAACCATTACATTTTACTGGGAAAAGGGTGAGCTTGCATCTTTTTATAAAGCAACGCAATTATCACCTTCAATAACAGAACATCATCTTTAACTGAAGGACAAAAACCAACCAGGTTATTTTCATCAACTCTGCAGCAAATGTCTTGCTGTTTCCACACTTTTAAAGCTGCACTGATATGTTGATATAAAATCCAACAAGGTAATTATAATTGAATTCTAACATGTCTTATAAATTTCTAGCTATCAGAGAAAGAACTGCAAATTGAAATGTAGCAGTTTCTTTTTTAGTCAGTGTATTACAGAAGCATTCTAATAATTCAATTATATGTTTAGGTACCTTTAGGGATGTTATTATGATAAGTATTTTAAGAAGAAAGCTGGCATTATTTTGACAGAAAACAGGGTTTTTTCTCATATCATTCAACTTGAATGAATGGAAATATTTTTATCTTACTGGAAAAAGTGCTGTGATAGCAAGATTAAATGGATTATAAGAAAACCAAACTTGAAATAAACAACAGCAAAAAAGGATTGGGGGAAGGAGAGAGGATCAGAGCTCCTCAGAGAAGTTGTTTTTTTTTTTTCTTTTTTTCAAGAATCTAGAATGAGGCAAAGGCTGTAAATTGAATGATGCCCAATTCCAAGGGCAGAGAGGTAAGACAGTTTGGTAACTTAAACATAAAAACAGACTTACCTTTAGGAGAGCCAAGGCTACATGAAAGATTATATTCAAACCCTGAAATAGAAAGAGAGTCAAAATCAATACTGTCACATCTATCACTATTTTATTAAGTATTTTCCCAAGACTTCTGTATGTCATTAATAAAATCTGTTTTCATTTTCACATACAATAATAATTAAACATGAGATTTCTAAAGGTATTTTTTCTTCTCTGAGAGGCTTATTATAAATGTTAGGTGCTATTTAATTAATGCTCATATAAAATTATTGTTTTTACAACAAATTGGCTCAGGGCTTGCAAAAGTCAAGTTCCTTGATCAAAATGGCAGTGACACCGAAGTCTAAAATTCTTAATTGAAATTTGTAAGTCTTATCTGTGTGATGTGGTTAAACTGCCAGTGGCGAACAAAACAAAACAAAGAAAAATAGTGTTGCTGATAACTGGGACAGACTGACTGTATGAGGGGAATTGTAAGCATCACACTGGATTTCCCCTACTGTTCTTATTGCTTTGTTGTTTGTTTTAGTGCTTGCTTTCAAGTAGTACGTGTACAACTAGAGGTGGTAATTAGGGGCTATTTGCTAGACTCCCTTGTCCCTTTTTTCCTGAAAACCAGAGCAATATTTCTTCCTGAATAAAGAAATTAAATAGTTTGTTAAGAAGCTGTACTGGGGCTGAATTTTGACTCTGAGTTCAGCCCAATGACTCTGAAGAAATGTTGAGATATTAAAGTCAAGAGACAGGAATCTTAAATACTCAAGATGACAGAGTCAGAAACAAAGTTGCCACAGAATACGCAGTTTCCTTGTCATGCAAGTCATCATATATGGGAAGAAAGACCTTTCAAATTTGAGCTGACATCTCCCATAAGTCCAGGGTCTATTTGATGTGCCCTCTTCAGCTTGGTCACAAATATAATCTATCTACCTTCTGGATATAGAGCTGTACGAGATGTGTTATGCAAAAAACCTTAAATAAACCATCCTTTTACTGTCTCCAAAATCAGAAGCAAGAATTAGGACTAGGTAATTGATGCCGAAAACTCGGCTTCTGTGCACCAGTGCCGAATTGAATCTCGGAGACTTTTCGGTGAAGTAGAAAACAATAGTTTTTTTGCTTTGCCAGGCAAAGGGGGACACAGCAGGCTCCTGCCCTGAAAAACTGTGTGTCCCAAATGGGAGGATTTGGTGAGTTTTACAGCAACAGTTCAAGGGTGGGGTTGCTGATAAGATTAGGGTGTGTGAAAGGCCTACACTCCTTTAATCTGGTCTCAGGTAATCTCTTGATGGGCTTCTCTGGTTTCTTTAATCTGGCCTCAGGTGGCCTTCTCTGGTGCTCCTCCCTTGTCTCTGAATCCTCTCCCTTCTCTGATTAGCAACTGTTGGAATCTGCCTTTTGGGACTCAGGAAGGTCACAGAGGCTGGAGTCTGTTCCCTGCAAACAAGGAACATGGGACGCACAAAGGTTTCTGTGCTCTGGAGCCCCACAGGGTCCTGCTCAGTTTCATAATTAGAGTGCATTCCTGTTAATAATATGCTAATCTTTCATATTCAACTACCAAACATATGACATAATAGTAAGAAGGGATGAATGATAAACAGAAAATCTTTGGTTGAAGGTTTTGGGTGTACTCAGTTAATCCTTTAAGAATCAGAAAGCAGTAGGAAGTATAATCAGGCCAGGAGACAAAGTCAAATTGACAGAGTGCATCACCACTCCAAGCAAGGATTCTAGACTGGTTTTGATCACAATTAGAAAAAAAAAAGGAGACCACGATCACAATCCAAAGAACATGGGTTACAATTAAGCAGAATTTGCTTTCCTCATCTAAATTTGGGTCCTCACCCACTAGCTGCTGCCCACTTGTAGGCCCTGCTACACATATCCTCCAGCCCCACATCACAGCGGCTAGGCATAGTGAATCCTCACAACCTGAGTGCTGATCAAGCCACCATCAGGACTAAATCCACAGTGTCTCTGGCTCTTGTTCTTCTAGTCACTGCTGGCAATGTAAACATCTCTTGTCTCTTGTTCTCTAATCCTCAAAATGCTCTGGTCCTGGGGCTTCCCTGGTGGTGCAGTGGTTGACAGTCCACCTGCCAATGCAGGGGTCACGGGTTTGTGCCCTGGTCCGGGAAGATCCCACATGCCGCGGAGAGGCTGGGCCCGTGAGCCATGGACGCTGAGCCTGTGCGTCCGGAGCCTGCGCTCCACAACGGGAGAGGCCACAGCAGTGGGAGGCCCGTGCACCGCAAAAAAAAAATGCTCCGGTCCTTTCTCCTAAAACAGTCCCCTACTCTTCCCTCTCCTTCCCAAACCCCTGCAGGGTATTCCACTCCATGTTCAACCAACTCTGCTATGTTCTCAACCTCCCTGCCAAACATTTCCCCTGCCTGCTTGCTTTCACAGGAAGAGTGAAATCTCAGTGATCCACATAACAACCTGTATTATGATTCCCATTTTTCAGAATATGAACTTGACTAGCCTAAGGTTATATATGCATTTAGTAGTAGCAGGCTAGGATCATTTGCCAAGCCTCCTAATATGTAGTTTAAGGGCATTTTCACCACACAGTGCTGGTGTAATGTACTTAATAAGGGCTTATATGATGACCAAATGAATGAACTATACTAGCTATCCCCAAATTTTCTGGGATTTATTCTTTTCCATATGGACCTAATTAGACCAATTTGTAGAATCACCATCAAATGACAGTAAGAAACCTTGTTTTTCAATGATCTCAAAGTCAAACTATTGGACAACTGAGCTATAGAAAACAAAAACAAGAACTTGGAGAAAAAAAAAAAAAATCTCTAGATAGCCAAAATAGCTCTCACTAATACCAGGAAAAAAATTTATTCAATTTTAATTTCATTTACACTTAGAATTAGTTTGGTAATACGATTTTATAGTTTACAGATATCAGAAGTAGCAAAGGAAAAGACAAAGTATGTGGTAGATAGGGTTAGGGACAGAGCCTGTTGAGACAGTTGCCAGAATCAAAATATTAGATCTGATAGAAACAGAAGATAAACTTAAAAAAATATGTGTAGCTGTCCGGGCTCATTTAGTGGAGCCAATAGCCCTTCAATAGTTAACATTAGTTCACTGTGATAACCTCAGCAATGTTAACGAATGCTAACATTATATTTGAAACATCGTGCTTAAGGGAGCATAGTCTGTGTTTTAAATAAAAAGTAGATTTTCTTTAAGTTTGGGAAGCTAAAGGGGTAACTTTCAGTTATCAGAAAATTTTATATATGTAAACTCTTTAAATAAGTTCATAATAATAAAGTATTATTGTACCTGCTTACATGAAACCCTAGATATTATCCACAAAAATGAAGAAAAGTAAAGACTGCATAAGCCTTCAACTAAAGTAGAATAGTGTGGCCAGACTGTGCAAACGAAGGTATGTTTAGACCTCTAAGTTGTTGGAAATCAGGAAAAACTTGCTATTCTACCCAGTGCTTTACTTCACTACAAAATGTATCCTGATTTCCTAAGAAGAGAATAAAAAAGGCAACTTTAGTCGGATATTTAAAAATATCTATTCTTCTCTTTTAAATAAGACTTATTCCCATTTAGGGATACAATTAGAGGTATCATTAAATTACAGTAACCTTCCTCAGGCCAACATTTGGGCACTACAAATAGGTTGCTTTTTTTTTTTTTTAAATAAATTTACTTATTTATTTATATATTTATTTATGGCTGCATTGGGTCTTTGTTGCTACACGTGGGCTTTCTCTAGTTGCAGCGAGCTGGGGCTACTCTTTGTTGCGGTGCACAGGCTTCTCATTGCGGTGGCTTCCCTTGTTGCAGAGCAGGGGCTCTAGGTGCATGGGCTTCAGTAGCTGCGGCCCACAGGCTCATTAGTTGTGGCTCACAGGCTCTAGAGTGCAGGTTCAGTAGCTGTGGCACACGGGCTTAGCTGCTCCACAGCATGTGGGATCTTCCCAGACCAGGGCTGGAGCCCCTGTCCCCTGCACTGGCAGGCAGATTCTTAACCACTGTGCCACCAGGGAAGTTCCAACAGGTTGTTTTTAAGATGACAATGTCAACGCAAGCTTTGGTCCTCAGCCTGCTCGCCAACAATGAAGTAAATTATAAGCGAACCACCTTTCACTCTTCCAAGCCACCATATGAACTAAATCCCCCATTATTTTATTGTCCACCTACTTTTACATGGTCCAACTTTTGCCTAATTGAGCTAAGATATATTTTTAAAAGAAAAAAATTGTTACATATTTTCAAGATGCTTCCCCCTTCAGGAATATGTAATTTGTAGCAATTTGATTGTTACTGAGGGGTAAATAAGTGTTCCTAATAGGACTGAAAGGGTTAAAGCATTTGCAGAATTATTAAGAGTAAAAACAACAAGTAAATACATTGTTACGGCACTTATTTATAGTGCAAAGTCTAACTCCAAGTGCAAGATAATAAATGAGTCAACATCCACTAAATATTTTCTCTGTGCCAAGATCTAAATTAATTACACCAAAAACATGTCCTTACTTAATCCCACGACAACCTGAAATTTCATTTTACCCACAAGAAAATTAAGATTTAGCGAAGTCAAATTAAATTTCCCAAGGTCACACAGCTATTAAGTGGATTTAAACCTACACAGTATAACTCTAGAACTCATACTCTTAACGACTACGTTAGAGAAGATGGCTCAAGGAATAAATGAATGAATGAATGAATGAATCACTTAGTTGGTATTATTTAATGCGGTCTCTAATTCCTAAAGGATTAAAGTGGTTCTTCCCATTTAAAGGCAAGTACATTTTGAGAACAGGGAGGAGAAAGATAACAAATAGGTGACTTCTACCAAAACCAAATTTTATTATTTGTCTCCATATTGAAAAATTAGCTGACTGTTTGCAGGATGTGAAGCAATAGAAACTCAGCTTGCCATGGAAAGAAAAGGTCACCACCTTCCTCCAGTGACGACAGACTGAGATCAGCCTTGTGTGTGTGAAGGAGTAGTTCCTTAACTGATTGGGAAGCTGCTGTTTCAAAATTCAGTCACAGCCTGGCAAAACCTT